GAAGTAGGTTCAAACTTCAAAGGCTTGTTGGGTCGATTCCTCGGGCCGGTCCAAAAGTTGACTTGACAACCAAAGGGCAAATATGGTCCGGGAAAATCTTCTCCAAAACGTACCTTCCATGGTGAATGATAATCTGGGTGGTCCGTGATGTTATGCGCCATGCAATAGTGTTTGGCCGCATGTGGCCAATACGAATGATGCAAACCAGCTTGTTCCAGGTTGGTCCTCGTGCCCTCGATAATCGCCCTGACGTTCCTCTCAGCAATTGCATTAGTTTTGGAAATGTAGTTTGTACTTTGAACATGCTTCCATTCCAATTGATCCGCCGCTTTCACAAGTTCAGGAGCCCGGTCACTGTAAAACACGTTCACGGTTTCCCCGGTGCGGACAAAGTGCTTGAATGCCATCACACACTGATGAGAGGTTTTCCGTGCTGCTGGATAAACATAACGGAAATCAGTGGCAACATCTCGAACCACAAGTGCAACTCTAGATTGATCAATGCCGATTTCACGATCATCTGATGTGATAAGATGGTCCGCCGTAAGGTGATCACCAAACTTCTTGGCCTCGACTTGAGTGGAACCTCCCTTCTGTCTTGATGGATATTTGTACATCTTTGCCCTGTTACAAGTCTCGCAAAAGGGGTTCTTGGGAGTGTGACACATCAAGTGCTGGAGTGAGGTCGCCTCATCACGCAAAGCTGCTTCACCGCGTTCGCGAGGGGCGTCCTTCAAAATAGGCTTCGACACAAAATCGGAAGCGATGACCTTAGGCGCATCTTCGGAGGGAATGTCATGGCACTCTTCAATGACCTCACCTTCCGGTTGGCTAATAGTGTCCTCAAGCAAGAAATCATCGTTCCCCAATTCATCCCCATCATCCTCATTGGTCACAAGCACCTCTTCAACAGCTTCCGGTTCCTCGTCAATGACCAGAACTTCATCCTCAATTTCAATGGGAGCTGATGGTAATGATGTAACCTTTGGAATGCTCTGTGACAAAGCTGGAACAGCATTTTGAGTTGCTGGGGGAATGAATGGAACATTGTCTTTGACCTCGAGCTTGATACGTGAACCATCCGGAAGTCGGAAATAAGGTCTGCTGTGGGCTCTCCAAACGAAATCATATCCGTCCCTGAGGCATCTCATACCCACGGATAACACGGATGGAGCCTTGTCAAGAACATATGGCCGAACAACACTATCGGTCTGTTGGATCTTGACCCTGGCCTGCTTGGTACCGATAATATTCCCATTGGCTGTGGAAAATTTCAGAGGTTGAGACGATTCGTAAATACACCCCATCTCCGCATCGGTTCCCGATAGCAAGTCCTGAGAAGCTCCTGTATCTGCGATCCACGGAATGTGAGAAGAATCCATTGTCATACGAGCAACAGCAGCTTTCCCCTTTTTGGGGGAGGTCACGGGCTTCTCTGGCTCGGCCGTTAGGCCTGCGGGGATGCAGGAATCACAGCCGAAATCAGAGTCGCATTGAAATTGGCAAGGAGTCTTCGTGCCTTTGAGCAAATCCTTCATCATAGCTTCATGCATGGTGCCGATAAGAGTTGCGTCAGAGACAGCTCTTTCATCGAACTTCGGAACATAATTAACAGGAAACTCGTGTGCAAACCTTCTCGACGAGGCAGTGTAGGGCCAAAGCTCGCCGTCAGTCTCATAGTTCGAAATGGATGGATAATCAGAAAATTGCACGCACTTCTTGATACATGGCATACTCTGGAAAACATCGTGAGTCACACTAGGCAAGCAAGGATGCGAGGCGACCGAGTCGAGGGTCGCGGCGCACACCGTCGCCTGGAGGAGGCACACCGCAGCATTGCTGCCTTTTGACGATCGCGGAGACTTGAGGGACTGAGAACCCTTCGAGTCTTTCGAATCTTGAGAAGAAGGCCTGCTTCCCTTCTTCTTCTTCTTTTTCTCTCTCGGCGATGTCTTGAGGGTGTCTCCACTAGCGGTCTTCTCGGCCTTTGGGGCTGGAGCTGCCTTGGAAGTTGCGGGGTGCTGCCATGGGCAATCTTTCCCTCTCTCACATCTGTTCGCTTTGAAGAACTTGCACACCTGGGGCTTCGAACCAGGGGGACTCTGCGAACGATACTTCCTTGGCGTCTGGGGTCTGGACCCGCCCTTCTTGCCTTTCCCCTTACCTTTCGGTGCTTTAACATGTTCGAATCGGCAGTCTGAACCATAGGTGCACTGGCCAGTTTGAAATTTGATACATACACCCTTGGGGATTCCAGGAACTGCAGGGTTGTTCGATGGAGTCCTGCCACGCCCCGTTGTGTGGCTTGACATAGCATCCCGCATGTGAACAAGCCTCTTGCGCTCCAAATAATTCCTCGATGCGTCAATCAAGAATTTTTATAGGAGTGTTTTTCTGTCCCTTCCTCAGCTCGCTCATACTCATTGAGATCATGACTGAGGGGCCGAAACTTTCGAATCTGGCGGTGGAACAGCGCTTCAAGGGTCTTCTCATTTTGCTCATTGCCCATTCCAGCGATGACCGTGTCCCATCTCGTCATGAAGTTCCTGAGGTCCTCGTTGATGAGCTGGACAGAGAGCAAGTCCTCAAAGTCGTAAATTGCACCATGTTTGATGTTCGTGCTGAAGTGCTTGTGAACCATCAAAAGAATTTGGCGCCCCCTCGCATAGCGTTTCTCCTTTGCTTCTTGTTCTTTGAAGATGTCAACTTGCCGCGCGAGGTCGCCCTCCAAGATATTCGTCAACGCCGATGCCAGCTTTGCATCAAGATGGACAAACATTCCTGAATCACGAAGGACTTCAACAGTTTGACCTGGGATCCAAGTTGCCTCAATCCACTCAAAAGCCTTTTCGGGTTGGTCGGAAGTAGCAACAACAGCATCCCTAACTTTGATCCTCCAATTACGGTACTGTTCGGGCTTCGGGAATCGGGGAATCTGAATTCTGTCACCCTCCTTTACACGAACG